AAGCAGCAGCAGCAGCAACAAACAAGCAGCAGCAGCAACAGACAAGCAGCAGCAGCTGCTGCAGCAGCAGCAGCAGCCGCAGCAGACAAGCAGCAAACAAGCAGCAGCCAGGCAGCAGCAGTAGCAGCAGGCTTCAATGCGCACAAACCCAGGCTGCAAAGCACACACAGGTACCACTTCCTCTACTTGAAGTAAGAACACCAACAGCGCTCGCTTTGTCACAACCAGTTTGCAACCTAGCGGCGGCTTTATTGGATTTCTGGTGTGCACTATGTGCATGGAAAAGTCATCTTCTGAGAAAAGGTCTATCTGCTAAACACCAGCAGGACGCAACTGTGCATCGACTTCCAAAAATCTTTCCCCAAGCTGGGACGCACAATTTATCCAAACGCATCGACTTTCACATCTTGGAGTACTACTAGCGTGGCACTTGTTACTAGTAGCTTATTGTTTCTAATAAGCTTCTTGTTGCTACTAGTAAGGCACTTGTTACTAGTAGCGATGCACTTGTTACTAGTAGCGTCCTTGACCTACTCCCTTTTTGTGGCCAACTTCCGTAGGATGTTCGCATCCATCCCGGCATCATGTTTGACCTACTCTGCTGGTGACGAATTCTGAATCGTGTAACCATAGAGATGTTTCGGAAGATTCTGATGCATGAATTCATGACTGTGATCTCTGTCATATCATCTGCTCGGCATAATGTTCCACTGGGTTTCTTCTGCAGAATCAGCGCGCCGCTCATCGAGGCTCCGATCACGGATCCCGGAGCGGCATAGCTGTACACAGAAACACCAAACAACCTGCTTGGGAGCTGATCTCTTTTGTTCGATGAAGAGGGAAAGAATCTGTTGCATGACATGGTGATCAAGTCCATAGCATTCTGCAAGGGTGATGCTGATTCTTGGAAAGTGTGCTCTCATACAAATCTGAAACATGTTTTCTGTGTTGCATATGTTCTTGGTGGGTAGCAAGGATATGTTGGCACCCCAATGCATTTGATTCCATGAGGGAGAAAGCTTGTGAGCCACATCACAGAATCCATTCCTACCTCGCAAATCAAGTACAACACAGGCAGCTTCGGCATCTTTCACCTCCTTCCTATTGAAACAGCCATGATAAGCACTTCGTTCGAGCCAATTCTGGTCTCCCGTTGCACGCTTTCCCCCTGAGTTCTCGCGCTTCGGAGGGCTTCTCTGCGAACTCACCACCGCACCTCATCGTTTATGCGACTAAGTCCACCAATTCCAAACAGTTGTTCGCATTGGCTACCTAGGTGTTCTAGAAGTCGACGAAAAGCCACAAGCTGACCATCATCAAACCATTGAACGGTCTTGGAAAGGAAACTCGATCAACACCTGCACTTATGCACATCATGCACTAATCAGTGCTCGATCATCACTTACCCAATTCCGTGTCAAGTCTCGGATCGGTTCCATTGCGACGGACACCGTTCTGATACACGCTTAGGAACATCCAACAACAAGCAGCTTCACCCACTTGAAAGTAGCAAATGAAAGGATGGAGTGGAAGGTCCAAAGGTCTCACTGAACAAACTGCAAAGCACTTGCACACAGAAGGAGGAAGACAAGGTGGAGCAAGCGGCGGTGGCATCACTGACAGAAAATCTAGAGACCCTCAGCTGACAGGGAACAAGAAGCTACTAGCAAGAAAGGGCATCGCTACCAGTAAACAACAAAAAAGAACCAATGTCTTTCCTTTGTTTGCTCCGATCCCTCTGATCCCCAGCAACAGCAACTGCTCCAAGAACTCGCCACAGAAACCTCTGGTCATCCGCTCTGGGTCACGAACAGCTTTCCGGTGGCCGAGTCCAAGCCGTCCATTCGGCATTCGCCTGCTTTCAGTCTTGAGGAACAGAATCCAGTAGAGCCCGCTCTTCCACCACTCAAAGAGTCGAAGGCGTTCATTGTTACTACTAGTAAGGCACTTGTTCCTAGTAGTAAGGCACTTGTTTCTACTAGCGAACATTGTTACTACTAGTAAGGCACCTGTTACTACTAGCGATGCACTTGTTCGGCGTTGCATCCAAGGAACTAAAGTTTGCGAAGAAACTCGAGAGGCTACTCCTGCGAAGTGAACGTTGACACATCCTTTAGGGGATCGATGTCGCTTATGTCCCCTGCTGCCACTTATGTCATCCTATGTCCCTAGCTGCGAAGAAGGAGAACTCGACAGCTTCGCCATGCTTCGCTATGCTTCGCTCTCCTTCGCGCAAAGAGTGCCGCTCCACTCAAGGCTGCAGCAGATTCCACAGCCTCCGGCCAGCGAGTGGAAACGTGCCAAAACAAGTAGTCCTTTGCTCTTTTTTGAAAGCCCGCCCTTAAGTAGGCGCCTAAGGGTGAGGGCAACTAGCTACTACCTACATCTACCTACTGGACGCAGGATAGCTCACGCTATTCATGTGGTTCCTCGACTTTTAGGGAACGCGGTCATACGCGGTCAGTGGAGCCTTCTGTAGCCTTCATGGCTCCCAACATCAACCGATCCAGGGGGTTCCTGTGACAGGTACTCGATTCATGCGATGTTCAGTCTGGTTCGCCGAAGAGGGTGCAAAATCCTGAGAACATATGCCAAACTCGTGGCTGCAACAGTCCCGCAGTTGATGCAGTCGATCTCAACCACAAAATGTTCAAAAGGTGGAAGGCAAACAACATTGGGCAAGCGGGTCAAGCTCCCCTCGCTGTTGCAAAAGCGCGCCTTCTTTTCGTCGAGAAAGGTGAAACCAAGCAGCCAACTGTGGGGGATGACTCAAAGCAAAAACTTCCGCTTCAATTACTGGGAAGCTAACCCAGCAACACACATGGTCGATATGAAGAAGTTGCGGAAGTCCATTTGAGACACCTTGTCAACCATTCGGAATTTCCTCCAAACAAGTTCAACGAGCAGAGTTTGTGAGTTCGCCCGTTTTGGGCGCTGAACACTGCCAGTTTTCAATTCTTGGAAGGGCCGTGGTGTGGTAACTGGGGACAGATTTGAACTTTGAACGCCCATCCTTCGCTCAAGAGGGTGAGACTGACCGGAAAATACATCCCACAAATATATCTGGAAATGCAGAATCTTATGCAAGGGTCCCCCCAAAAAACGATGTCCACTTGCCTTCTTGAAATAATTGATCAAGAGTCTTCGGGCCACGATACATCTTTTCGGACGAGCCAATCAGTCATCCTCATGAGGGCGTGGAACAATCTGAAGCACAGGAGTTGAGGTAACTTCCTCAGACTTGCCTTGGCCCTCGTCCATTCGAAGTTGCCAGAAATGCGCTAGGCTCAAGACGATCAGCACGAAGCCAATAGTCCCTAACCAAATGATATTGCCCAAGTCTCTCTGCAAGGCGAAAGGGGAATCCTCTCCAGTCTTACCGCCACTACAGTTCTCGTACTCCTCAGCAACCGGGAACTTGAGAATAAACATAAAGAAGGAGCACCGGCCAAATGTAATCACACCTGCAGCATGGTCGGAGCAGCTGTCTCAAGTTAGAGCTACTTTATGAATGAGCAAATTTAAAGATTTCATGCTATTAGAAACAATAAGCGACTAGTAACAAGTGCCTCGCTTCTAGTAACAAGTGCCTTACTAGTAGTAACAAAAAGCTATTAGAAACAATAAAGCTATTAGGAACAAGTGCATCGCTAGTAGTAACAGGTACCTTACTAGTAGTAACAAAAAGCTATTAGAAACAATAAAGCTATTAGGAACAAGTGCATCGCTAGTAGTAACAAGTGCCTTACTAGTAGTAACAAAGCTATTAGAACCAATAAAGCAGCTACTTTCTGGGGCAAATCTGGGTCGGATCGTGCGGCTGCCACTGGCCCCACCTGCCACCATAAACAAGGTCATGAATACCAGCAGGAAGCGCACGTAGTAGTACCAGTTTTCAAAGCGCTCTTCCCCCAGCTCATCGTTCAACTTCAATCCAGCCAAAGATAGGTACACCAAAACCACCATTAAAACATTGTTGCTGAGAAAAAGGGTCGAATAAAAGACTTCTTCTCGAAGATAGTTGGCTGCCATGAAAGGGTCCGGATCAAATGCATAGTAGCACCTTCCGACTCGTAGGGTTGCCTCCTTAAGCTCATCATATTCAAAAGCCCCAGGGTATGAGATCACAATGGCAATCAGCAATGCACTCAGGAGGGCCTGCACGTTCAACGAATCCTTGATCGCTTCAATCGATGGTGTCCCGTTGAAGAAGATATCATAGAACAAGTTCAAGACAGGGATGTATTTGATGAACCTTGAGATAGTCGACATGCAGCAAAAAGGTGCCGGCAGTACTCTTAGGCCAAACAGCTGCGGGTGGGCACGGATATCCTTTTACTCGAAGGGTCAACAGATCAGGACCAAGTCGCTGTTTGGCAAACAGTGCAAGCTACAAATTCAGAATTCCGCTTTGATACACTCAACACCCCAGCCCACACATTCCCAAACCAACAGGATTGGTACCTGCAATAGTTGCAGGCCGCGTGGAGCTGGCAGGACCTCGAAAAGCGAAGGCGTGCGAAGGCACGCCCGGCGAAGCTTCGGTAGATCAACTTCGAGTGATCAAACATGGAACCGATGCGAAACTGCAGCCAAACTAGGTTGGAGGCCATGGCTATTAGGTTAGAGGCCATTGCTATTATGATAAGTGCCCCCTAGGCAGAAACTAACATGTGGATAATCCTTGTGCCGGTAGAGTCTTTTGGAACTCTTGCTTTCCAGGAGCCCCTAGTAGCTTATTGCTCCTAGTAGAAAGAATGCTCCTAGTAGCGATGCCAGGAGCCCCTAGTAGCATTCTTGCTCCTAGATCTCTTGCTATTTTCAGCCACGCAGCCGACTCTCAAAACACAGAGCCATTCTTTGTAGCTCACACGAATAGATTTCATGGTCCGTTGCTTTTTCAAGCAACTGTTACACACGACTTGGTCAAAGAACCCAGTGTTGCTCATGCCTCCGAGCTGAGGGTTGCCTTGTACGCATGCTACTCAAAGCTTTGCGTCCATGGTGGCCAGTGCATCAGCCAAGGACACTGTGGATCGACCCATCCTCAAGCAAAGGCTATGGACCAATGTCAAACAGAAACAACTAGCAAAAAACATGAAAACAGAACACTGTACAAAGGCATGCCAGAAACACGTGGAACTCACAATAGCTGTTCTTCTTCCTACATCTAACGGCCTTGGCACTCCTGTCTACAAAGAAGACCCGTTTCAATTGCCGAAACAAGCGTCGCCGTGCGCAAACGAGCAATATTCATCGAAATGTCGGCAGGTGATGGAGTTGGGAGATCGTAGGCTGAACCTAACAGTTGACATTTGTTGATGCAAAGCTTCCAATCCATGGAAAGGTGCTATCCAAAAAGTGGGAAGCTGCCAAAAGCTTCAAAAATCAGGAGGAACATCACCTCGAAGATGATTTTGATGATACTCTATTGAGACTCTGAGTTGACTTTGACTCCCAATTGTCTTGATACGAGCCTTGAACAATGGACTCGGCCATGCCGACATGTCTGGCCACGATTCGGCAAAAGTCCAGCCGGGACAAGGCCTCAGGTCCTGTGCGGTGAAGAATGGGATCCTGAAATGTCCTGAGGGTCCTCTCATGTCGCAATGTAGAAAGAACGCTTTTGACTTCCTGTAGGGAAAGTTGTGCGTAGGGCAAGGGAAGTAGCTGTGGCAGCTTCAGAAAGCAACTATCTACATGGATGCAGCAAAGCGACGGTATACAAGGTTCTTCCTTCAAGCTTCGCCCCGCCATCACCCACCTATATGACATTCATCTGATCCACCTGAGCCTTGCCAAAATATGATGCCTGTGGCTGTGGTTGAAACCTTGTGCCCACCAGACGTCCCTCACAGCCCACCCTGAACGGCCGGCCCCTCACCTCCAAGGTTCACTGTCCCCTCGATGTGGCCCTCAGAATTCACTCAAAACCCAGCTGAGAAACTCCCTTTGACCATCTGCCACCTAGAGCTTCATGAACATGCTTCTGGATTCCGATGGTTGGTTGTGTGTGAAGAGCCCCATGGGCTGGTTTCTTGTGGCAACACCTTGAGTCTGAAATCGAACACTGTGAGAAGGTGGTACACCGGGTACACCCTAAAAACCGTTTGTAGTACCGTGCCTCAGGTCAACTTGGCTCTAAAACCGCATGACGTGAACCAAGCGATTGCAAGAACCTCAAAATCCTGGTGATACCTCGAGGTTGAATCACCAGGATAAAACTTTTGCCGTGTTCAAACACCAAAGGAGCACCAATTGCCAAGAAAATGATGCGAGTGTTCGAAGTGTTCGAGTGACCAAATTCCGTGCCTTCACGGCCAAACGCAAGGCCTCCACGACATCATGAATGAAGATGCAGGATCGGATCCTAAAGCGCCAAGTGCCAAGTCATGCAGCTTTCGGATCGGATTAGTTGAAAAAGGCGAGTTGTTTGCGGCCAAGGAAATATCCGTTTTTTGGTGAGAAGCCGGGACCCAAGAGTTTGAAGGTGGAGGACTCACTCCAAAAATAAACTGACCAGGCTGCCTGAGGCCCTGTCTGATGCTGGAAAACGACACCAAACCAGAAAAGACATTGCAGTGCATCCACAAAGCGATCCTTTCAACAAAATGGATGCCACAACGACATCTTTGCCATCAATGGACTCCGTGAACACCTAAATAATCGAAGCCTAGCTCTCCATAGTTCCTGTCGTTCTGGATTCAAGTCCAGTCCAGACTTTAGCATGGTGGTGGAGTTCTGCCTATTATATTCAGCCTTGAAAGTGATAAACAGTGCAGTTTCATTAGTTGATTCATGAAAATTCAGGGCAAGGTCACATTCTTGATGTGCAGCTCCGAATACCATTGCGATTGCAGTGTGAAGGGATTGCCCTCACTGCTAAGGCAATCCAAAAGGATTGGTGTTTTTAAGTTGCAAGTTTACTGTTGACATTAGAGTAGAAACAAAAGATTGGAGAAAAACGGAGGAGCAAACAAGCAAACAAGTACGACAAATATCCACTCACACACACACACACACGTCAATGCGCTGTGAGGGATCACATGTGGCCTCTGATATCAAGCATTCCCTTGCTACTAAAGCAGACTTTCTCCTTTCAAGGTTCTGATCTGCGAAGGCGTTGAACTCCTTCTTCTGTCGCAGCTTCTCCAAGGCAAACTGTAGGAAGGTGCTGTGGGCGCCTTCCACTTCCGGACCGAAGATGAACCTCGGTCTTTTTTACATGTAAACAAGTGCGTCGCTAGTAGGTTGGAGGCCCGTCTCTAGTAGGTTAGAAACAAAAAACACGAAGCGCATGTTGGTTCTTATCTGTCCGAGGAAAAGTAGATTTCACAGAGCCACTGCATCCAATTGCCCATCGACTCCCTTGAACCCAGTGTGGCTCAGCAACGATAGTCGAAAGATCGCATGATTGTCGAAGAGCGCCTTCACAACCTCAGCCGTTTGTTTTGATATCTTTGATTCTTTGATATCAAAGAGAGTGAAAGAAAAGGCGGGTTGTCCCCAAGCGGCCTTTTCCATCTCCAGCTTCGATCTTCCATAGACCTGAGTCCACAATTGCTGATTGATGAAAGGCAATGTTAAATCAACTAGAACCAGGAAACCTGCTACCCCACTTCTATCAACATCTAGAATGGGACATGATTGGAGCTTGGATATGGTTGAACGCATGTCTTCTTACCGGTAGACTGGTCCACTATGACAAACGGATATGTTTTCTCAGCCTCAAAGCGTTGACAAGCGCGTCACTGTCCTTTACACCGAGTCACATTGACTGGTCGTGCATCTGCTTCTTCGTCCACAAGATGGCCTCACAAGCAACAAACCTCACTGATGGCAGCCGTACCATCAACTATGATACGGCTCCTTAATGAATAGAGAAAGGAGTGAACCGCCTGAACACATAGCAATGCACAGTGACAGATGCAAACAAATAACACCAATTCCAGAGTCCTAGCTGCTTGCCTTTGCCATCCAACACCTGGTCAGTCGAGAGGAAAATAAACCTGCCATGCTGCAGGCGCAGGGGTCAAGACCATGGAAGCATTGAGCCCGCACTAACTGCAGCAACTGATTTGGTGGCAGAAAAATCATGTTTCGATCCATGAGCTGTGTCTTCTAGTCATGGATTGGTCTGTTGGCCAATTATTCGAGATATCTCTGTCTTCATTTGTGACCTGCTTCATCATTCCCTCTGGAGTGCAAGAGCCTGGACAATACACACCAAATTTTCTTCCGAGCCCCTTGACATCTCAAGAGTCAAGAGGTTATTTCTACCCGTTTTACCCTGTTTCGGCCTCACTGAAGCATTGACCTCCTTGGCTTTCTGAGCAAAGCCCTTTGGCACATTTTGCTGCATCGTGGCTTCCTCGTCCGCCTCACCTCACATGATCTTAGTCACAAAAAGCAAGCATGCAGCATGTGCGTTGTCTTCAGAAGGAACGTTCTCTTCAATGAAAAAAATTGGCACAGTCACATTGGTACAACCTTCAGCTCTGTGGAAATGCTCCAAGCCGCACTTGGCCGGTGAGCTCGAGGCTGCTGTGTGCACTATCACGTCCGGCACCACCTACACGAGACCACCAAACTCCCATTTGCTTGGCCCAAAAACTTGCACGAATCCTATCATGACATGGTTGTACCTCCTTTTGTTGACATCCCCAGCTTTGAAGCTTTGCAATCTTTTGGGAGGTTTCCCTGTGAATTGTCCTACAGCAGACTTGGAGATGATGGGCCCTGCGGGGTATCGCTGGTCACGAGCATAAATAGTGCTGGCTCTGTATTTCTTTGCATTTCCTTTTAGGTTGGAGGCCATCACTAGTAGGTTGGAGGCCATCGCTAGTAGGTTGGAGGCCATCGCTCTTAGGTTGGAGGCCATCGTTAGTAGGCTGGAGACTATCGCTTTACATGAAAAAAACACATGCATGTAACTATTAGGTTGGAGGCCATGGCTGTTAGGGAATGTTCCGTCTTAACAAACTGATGCTATTAGGTTAAGTTTCCTATTTGGCCTTACTACTAGTAACAAGAAACTGCTAGGAACAAAGGGCATCGCTACTAGGAGCAAGGACGCTACTAGTAAGTTTTCCTTGTAGCTTGAAGTGCACAACTCAGTGCGGCCTCTTCCAGGACGCGGGAATATTCACTGGCATTGCCTTGCTTGGCCATTCGTACGGATTCACGTGCTGGATGAGCTTGTCTTTTTTTGAGGAAAGAAAACGCTAATTACTAATTGACTCGCTTCGCAAAGGGTGGAGTCCTGGTTTGTAGTTTCTTAGCTTCGCTTGTAGAATGCTTTCCCACATGCATACAGGGTCCAAAAGGTTGTATCCGACCTCAAGGGGCGGCATGTGCAGCCACCAGTGCCGCTGAAAGCTTTCACTTCCGCGGTCTATCCCGGCGGTGGCCTATCCGAATCGAGAACCAGCAACTTGGGCGGTCCGGTCCGACGTTGATCGCTCTTGCAATGGCAAATGTTGTCCAGTATAGTCCAGTTGTCCAAGAAAACTCGAACCCCTTTAGGTCGATTGAAGGTCAGTTTTGATACAATGGCCTTAAAAGAACCGAGGCCTTAAAAGGCCCTTCGTTGAGATGGCGGATTGCGAGAGCCAAGATGCAAAGGTCCATGGCTGTGGAGGCTGAGCGGCTCACGCCGACCACTCGATGACCTGGTAAAATACATGTGAACATGGACGCTACTAGGAGCAAAGGGTACAGGGGCTCCTGGCCCTACTACTAGGAACAAGAAGCTACTAGGAACAAAGGCCTCCAACCTAATAGCGTCCTTGCTCCTAGTAGCGATGCCCTTTGCTCCTAGTAGCAAAAGAACCTAAAAGCGATGGCCTCCAACCTCATAGTACGTGTGAAATCAGACAAGAACGCGCGACAAGCGGTGCATGACTTCCAGGACTCTGCACCCGCTTTTCGCACCACATGCCATGGCGCCTACCCAAGGACTTCAGCATGGACGTCTCCAAAAGCGAACCATTGCAGTCAAAATGCCATCCTTTTCCAAAGCTGGAACCAGAAAGCGACCAACCTGAGAAAGAAAAAGGAATAAAACAAATATGAATCACCAGCAGGCAGAAGGCAGAAGTAACTTGGATCTGAAAAAGCCGTTCTCTAGCTTCTCTTTGAAATGCAAAAGGATGAATGACCAAGGAGCATAGCCAGTGCTGCCGGTAACTAGCACACGAAGAGCCATAGCACAGGATGCAGGGCTTAAAGAAGCCCCAGCTCTCTTCATCACGTTCTACTGTGAAGGCTGAGGTGGGGTGCTTGAGCTGCAACAGAAAACAGTGTCTTCATTCACTTGGCGCTTGAGGGCCTTGGAGACTTGGAAGTGAATGTCAAAGGTAGTATCTCCGAGGCTTTTGCTTCTGCTTTTCAGATGTTTGCACTCACACCGTGTTTGTTGATACTTCTCCGAGCGAAAGCTCTCTCTCTCTCATGACAAAAATGCGGTGAGACTGTCGGTCGACCAGCATTTCCACAACTGTAGGTACTGAAACCGAGGTGAGCCGCATGGTGAGCCTCACTGTGAGCTTCACGGTGAGCCAATGTCTCCTTAGTCTTGTAGAGCGAAGTGACATTGTCCATTTCCTTGGTGGTGCCATTGGTCAACAGCAAGGCCAGCGATGTATGGTGTGTAATGGTGTGTGATTGATCAGATCTAGTTGGCAAGAAACATCCAAGGTTGAGAACTGCTTGTTCATCGATACCACCCTGCAGTGGGCCTTTGGTATAAGATGTAACTATCTTGCGACGTGCAAGAAGGTATTCTTGACACAAGACTGTTCTCACTTCATAGATGATGTCTTGGAATTCGCTCAGCGGTGCTCCTCAATGGCAAAGCTGGATTGCAAGTAAAAGTCTCCTAGCAAGAATTGATCTGCGCACCAACGCAGCAAGCCTTTTGACCCCTAAGAATATTAAACAAATATGACGTGTGCACAAGAACTGGTGACAATTCAAAACATTCTCTTTAATCCAAAGATTGCCAGCTAGAAACACGTGCTGACTTCACTTGTTTTTGTTCAAGAACTGCCTGTCATGTCGTCCAACGATAGTGTACAAAAGGCTGAGCCTCAA